AAGTCCACTTCTAGGAGTTTACCCTAAGAATCCTCATGGCCCAGAGGCTATACATATAAATCTCTGTAGGGGCTGAGCAGCAGGTAAGGCATGTGCACTCTGTGACGGTGGGGATGGTGGCAGCTAGAATGGGCCTGCCCATTATTACCATGGTCACATGGGGGACCCAGAGTAGCCCAATTTGGTTTTTCAACAGGGCCCAGAAATCTCAATTTTAAAATACTGGCTGTGGTAGACTGCAAAAAATAATGGACCCAAATTATTCCCTTCCCTCTCGCCATGCCCTCTGGTAGAGCCCTCCCTCACTGACTCTAGGCTGGTCTTGGGACTAGCTTTAGCCAGTGGGATATTAACAAAAGGGATGCAAACAGAAGCTTCAATGGTGCTTCCACACTGGGGCTTGCCTTCTTGCTGCCCAGGGAACCCCTGCCACCACTGCCAAGTGAGGGAGGTGGGGCAAACTTCTTGGATGGAGATGTGTGACTGAGGCACTTCTTTTGCCCCAGGCAATAGCATGGCACTTACCAGACATGTGGATGAGGCCATCCTAGATCATCCAGCCTCAGTCAGAAGCCATCAGCTGACCACAGATGCACAGAGCCCAGCACAGACCAGTGGGTCGGCCCAGATCAGAACAGTCCAGCTGGCTCCTGTGAGCTAAGATTTAAGCCAATATATGTTGGGATGGTTTGCTATATAATAAAAGTTAATTGACCACAAAATTTAGATCTGTTTAGAGCTAAACAAAGGAGGGATCAAGTTCATTTAACCTCTGGTGAATGTAAATATTTAACAAGGACTTCCTTTGCATTACTATTTATAATAGTGAAAAAGACAAAACCACTTAAAGATCCATCTAATGTAATAAGAAAGTGGTTAGCAAGTGAGGGAACATGCAGATACCGGAATGGTAGGCACCATTAAAAATGATGGTGTAGACTAGCAGCCACGCACAGATCAAACCTGGGGTCCCACCACATTTGGATCAATAGGCACAATATTACTGTCCCCAGAACACACACTACCGCAGGAATGGAACACCGAGCTGAGTGGATCACACGGTGCAGTGGACAGGGCACCTGGCCATAAGAAAGAGACAAAAAAGCTCAGAATAAAGCCCAGAACACTTACAGGAATGTGCTCAACTTTGCTTTTTGAGGATATGAGTTCACAGTGGGAGCAGTAAACGGCTCTACTCAAGTAACGACACGGCTCTAAAGAAGGACCAAGCAAACAGTGAGGTTATGGTGGATGTTTTGGCAGCAAAAAGACATTGTTAACTTAATGGCTAGTGTCTTTTAATCTCTTCAAATATGCTGTTGAAAATTATTGAAAGTGTGCTCCAGACACAAAGGATGTCGAAAATCACTGGTACAAAAGAAACCTTAATGACATGGAAAGATAGTTATATGTTAAATAAAAGAAGCTAGTTGTAAAACAGCAAGTACGACACAACCCATTTTTGTTATAGGAGGAATGTGCAAGCATAGGAGAGAAACTGGAGGACAGAGATCAAAACTGGGCTGTAATGGTGGTTATCTATGGAAGATGGGAGTAGGAGCAATTCTTATTTTTCTTCCCTCTTGCTTATTTTTTTCAAACTGCTATAAAAAATGATGTACAATTTTTGCACTGAGAAAACTTCATAGAAGTTATAGATTTTAAAAAGTTACTCATGCATGTGCACGCGTGTGCATATGGGCATAAACTCCAAACCAAAGTGGAGAGAGACTTCTTTATCCTTTTCTTTTGGTCAGTGCCTACAAATGCTCTGCCACCTCCCTATACACATTCAGATTTTCTTGAGGGTAGGCAGTCTCTCAAATCTTCTTCTGTGCAAAAACACGTGGACTCCGTGCAGGCACATCAGCTATCTGATTCTCCTGGGAGGCAGGCAGATGCCATGCGGCCTCACACTTTGCAGCCAGAGATAGAAATGGGGCAGTGGTTTGATGCTCAGTTCTTCCATTCTGCAAATCACCTGCAAAAATGTGAGCAACTCGAAGCAGGTACAGCTACCTTTTGACGGTGGAGATGCCCTGCTCCTTAAGGGCAACTTGTCAGCACTAACACCCCTGCAGCCCATCATGGGCCAGTTCATCATGAACTGACAGAGCACACACGTGTCTGTGCACAAATGGAGGGAAGGTGACCTAGCTAATCATCAGACCTACTTCTAAAATGCCATCTAGTTAGATGCATCAGAGCCCAGCTTTACTCATTCATCTATAAATGTGGTGAGAACAAAAGTCAAAGTGACTCTGTTAGCAAACCCAGGGGGATGAATAGCAACGTAAAAAGTCCAAGGTTCAAAATGACAAGCAGTTCATTGACGATGCCCTGGAATTACAGTCTATAACTGGGCACAGTGAGGGGGCCAAAAATCTGAGGATTTTACAAGATAATGAATTAATGACTGGGCTACACAATGGAAAATTAGAGCTGATAAGGCCAGTAGACCATTCTTTGGACCTAAAAGTTTATTGAACCATTAAATAACTGATCCTTTTTAGGAAAGGAAAATGTGTTCCCAGACATCTGAAAAGATGTTATCAACACACCACTGTCATCTTTTATGAGCACTCACTTTCTGTTCAACCTTACCACTCTGTATGCTTATCCTCAGAACGGAGAGGGGTAAACAGGATAATTTTTTCCCTTTGAAAAATTCCAAGTTAGTATAGGATTAAGAAATAGATTCTCCAATTATTCAGAAGGACAGATCAGACTGGGAAGGTTCGCCTATCCCTCTCTTGATTGGACTCACCGTGGATTTAATAAAATCGTATCACATCTTAAAGCTTAGCAAGAAACGTGGTGATAGCACTTCCTCCCACAGTGCCCTCGGCTTTAGCCACTGCTCAGCTGGGTCTGCGAACTGCATTCACATTCAGCCACAGCAGTGAATTAACAGCTATCATTTCCCAAGAGCTGACCACGGGCCAGGCACTCTTTCCATCATCGCAAAAATCTTGGAGGTGGGGATGGTCATCTCTTCCTTCTACAGATGAGGAAACTGAGGCTTAGAGAAGTGACGAAGCTTGCCCGGGGAAATACTACCAGCAGAAGAGCAGTGAGCTTCTCCCAGAAGCATGTGAGAGGAGGAGGCAGCATCGTGGGGCAGCTGGAAAGGGCGCAGGGGGGCAGAGCTCCAGACTCACTCTGGCTCATTCGCCCCAGGCAAGTCTCATCTTGCTACAGAAGAGGGCTCATCTCTCTTACCCAACTACTTCATAGGATTTTTGTGAGGTCCAGATGAGATCACATATACAAAAAGTCTTGAAAACAGTAAGTACCATGTGTTATTAATAAAAAGTCAGAAGACTAAATCATAGTCCTTAGGAGCACAACACTTCAATCATCAAGGCTTCAATGAAAGACCACACAGCCCCTGCCCCCAAACAATCCTTTAAGTAAAGGGCACATGATTTTCTTAAGCAATCTTTTAAAGATAAAGGGCTCAAGTATGCATGCTGGTACTTGAACTGATCTTTGCAGGTGGCTTTAGTGTCTTGCAGACATCCTGCCTGAGCTATTTCTCTTGACTACAGAAAGTAACCATTTCATTGTTACTATCAATTCTGTTCCAAAGAAGGGACTACTGTAATTTTACACCCTTAATGTATGCAATACCAGAATAAATAAAACAAAACAAAACAAATAAACAATACTTTCTCATGAAAGGGCCACATTATATATACATTAATTCATTTTTTATTATCATCATCATTAATAGCTAAGTCCACAGTTCAGTTCCCAGGCAACATAAAAGTGGATGTTTTATTTATAGGACACCTGTATTTTTTTTTTGAGCCACTATGATTTACCAGTCTATTAAAAGGCAACCACACAATTAAAACCTACAGAATTCAAATAATGCAATCTTTGAGCAATCAGAAGCAATGGACTGCCATTTCAGTGTGGGAGATCTGCTAAGTAACCCTGCCTTTCAAATAATGTCAAGTGGAAATCCCATTATCTCTTTCGATCTAAGGACCACTAGAAAGAAAAGCCCTTCCCCGCAAAAACTCCCCAAATCTACCTGCCCTTGGTGAGAGTCGGGATTCGGCACATGTGACTGGGGGAAGAACTCCCCAGGAGTTGATGGAGGTGCCATCATTCCAACATGTGCTGGAACACCGAGGGGTCAACCTCCATGGCCTGGAGTCCCCTGTGCAAGCTCTGGAAGGTGGCCTGCTTTCCGTAGCGCTGCCTCCAGCGGACGAAGGCCTCCACCATCTGTGACTGCACGTTGTGGGGGTGGTTGGCCTTACAGCGATAGATGTCGGTCTGGGACAGCCCCAGAGACAGCACCACGGGTTCCCACTCAGGGCCCAGCCTCTGGGCCAGCTGGTTGATCTGCCGGTCCGATGGGGAGCTGTTGAGGATGTGTGGGGGGATTCCTGTCATCCAGTCATCTGGGGAGAAAAAGTCATGAGGGTGAAAAAGAGCCAGCAAACACATCAGACGGGGGCAGAAATGAAAAACGTGGGCGACACATACTTCCAAATAGCAGGGGCCAATTTCTAGTCTTCTCAGGGGCTGCTCGGTACAAAGCATATATAGGGGCTTAAGAAGGCCAAGTTAGCAGCTAAGGAAATGTTTATTATAGAAACTCTGAAAACAACAAAATAAAAATAACTAGGAATCCCATCAGAGAAACCCATTCATCATAATGTGATCAATTTCTTTTCAGTCTTTCACATACAAAACATGCATTCAGGATTACATTGCAGGCACTGCTTTGTAACAAGCCTTTTTCACTTCCATCTCTTTTAACCAGTGAGGCCAAGCAGAGAGTCCTAGGTGAATCTAAGAAGGCCTGCACACGCCCATCTCCCTCCAATGCTGGTCTGTGATGCTCTCTCCTGCAGGAATGGCTTATGCTGGCGTAACAGGCTGAACAGAACAGCTACTCCCTCCTGATAAACTTGAACAGTACCTAGAAAAGTTACAGTGTCCAACAGAAGGAGGAGCTAAGAGACCTCCTGAAAAAATAATAAAACTAGAGGCCAGGAGGTAGCAGGAAGAGAGGAGAGTGGGGTTCACTATTTCAGCACAGGTCACAGGAGGAGAGCTACCATCCTGGCTGAGCCCAGAGGAGGGGAGGAAACATGTGCCATGGAGGGACAACGAGAGACCTTGAACCTGCACTTCCTAAACTGGAGCCCAGTCTTCTGGAGGCTGTCTGCTGAGGGAGCCTGACACTCAACGAGTGACTACAGATGTGCCAAGAGGTGCCATCCGCTACACAGAAGGCCTTCCAGAGGAAGGAGGTTAAAGTTAAGTCCCGAGCATGAGAAGAAGGAGTCCAGGGAAGGGAAAGAATAGGAGGTGTGCCCTGTGCAGTGGGAACTGCATGTGCAAAGGCCCTGAGGCAAAACATGGCACACTCAAGGAAGTGAAAGAAGGTCCCTGTAGCAAAGTGCAGAGATTGAGAAGGAAGTATCCAAATGATGGTGCTGGTTATGGGTTAGGCCAGGACTGGAAGCGAGGTTTTTATACTCCTGGTTCAGATCTCTGTATGGTAGCACATTATACTATACTTCCTGTCACCAGCACCACAGGAATTAGGGTCAGTCACTCTTCACACTCATCAGTTCACTGTTTTGATTTATGAACTCAATGAGAAAGCAAAAGGCATCCTGTTAGAACAGCTGATGTGTTCCATAGCACATGCCTTTGGTTTCTAGACAGTTGCTAATACCTTAGGCATGAGTTGCAAAAATACTGTCAAGGACTCTTTCTGGTTTTTGTCAAGACTGGTTTTTTTTTTAATGACTAAGAAATAGATTAGAATAATGATACTACTGAATAATATTTTATATTAATAATGTTTTTATAAAAATATGAGCTCATTTGAAAAATTCAAGGACCACAAAACAGTACAGAGAAGAAAACAAATTACCCACTATCTCCCCATCTTATTGACAGTTATTAAATATCATTCTGGACATCTCTTTATGCACATACACTGTAAGAAGAACATAACAACCTTTTCTAATGAAGGTTATTTAATTTTGCTTGAATATAACAGAAGAAAAAGCAGAAGATAAACTAAATGGCTTTCTAACCTGAAGTTAAATGATTAAAAAAAAAAGCAAATAAAAAAGAAACATATACAAACATACAAAAGATTCAATGCTGAGGAAAATACATATGTAAGTTTAAGAGGTAAATGGCATGTCCACATTAATGCTCTAGAATGAGCACTTTATATTTTCTCTCCTTTTTCTCACATCTCTGGGTTTTTGTTGCTTTTATCATTTTAATTTTGTTGGGTGTGTAACATGCTTCTGTAACAGTAATCTCCTCCCATTTGTTTAGTCTTAAAACCGCATATATGGTATATGGCCATCAGCAGATTGAGTTAGACAATGAATGCAGTATATCAGGAAATAGATTCTTAATAGGGAATAGTGTTACAGTGAAAAAATAAGGTAAGATGCATTTAAGGAAAAATGGCTGTCAACCTGCTGGCTAAATCAGCAAAGGAACACAGCAGGAAAGCTGGTACTGGGTCTTGGTAATATATATAAATATAATAAAACACACTGGAGAGCCAGAGAAAGAAACACATTGGGAACCTTAGTAGTTAAGCTCAAGTTGCCAATTTGCTACAAATCCTTTTTTCCACCAATCTGCTCAACTTTATTCCTCTTACAAATTTGTAGCCCTTGCTCATATTTTATGGTAGAGAATGCTGGTATAGAGATTTCTGACACTGACTTCATCATCCCCCTTTTTGTATAACTGGCTTTTTCTCTCTGGAGTTTACGGTGCTGCAGCTTTAGATCAGGGTACATCTTGGTCATTCTTTATCACCACCCTCTCTTTTGGAAGCCAGTTAAATGTCTTATACCACATCCGTTCTGCAGGGCTCACTCCTTCCTGTGGTCTCTCCCCTATGAGTAACTCGAAACTCGGGGGAGATGGCCTGCTCTGGGTTGCCTTCCCGCCTCTCCAGGAGGGTGTTTCCTGCATTTCCCGGGGCTGCCTTCTCACCTCCTAGACCAGCTTCTCTTCAGATTGATCTGTGTTAGTGGGAATCCTCATGCTGTTGCCCCCTCACCTTGCTTTCCCAGAGTGGCTTCTGAGGGGTTGAGGTGGGGTATGTCCTTCATTACCTGCCACTTTTCATAGTGCATGATTTAAAGCTGTGATCGGTTTTCCTGCCTGTTTGGTTGCTGCTGCTGAATGTTTTTGTTTTGAACTGCTTTCTGGTCCAGTTCAGTGAGTGTTGGGGTGGGAGTATCTGTAATTCTGCTACACTCTGTAATCATCCTGACTCCTGGCCAACTATTAATGTAACATACACTTTGAGCCAATTATTTGGAAGTGAGGACAGTATTTGCTCTTGTTCCTCCACACTTTCGGGTCACACATCCCTTGTGAATACTGCCATATAACTGGGAGATGGCCAGCAGTCTGTGGACACAGACTGGAGCAAAGATAATTGGCACATAAATGCTACCACACCAAGAGCAAATCAAGCCCTTCCAAGGAGATCTTACACACATAAAGGGACAATAGCAGCTGTCTGTGTTGTCTGACCTCTATCTGGAAACATATCCTCACGAGGCCCTTCCAGCTCATGAATTCTGCTGAATACGAGGTTAATTAGAACTGAGAGTCCTAAGGTGTTAGTGTCAACTCCCAAGGATATACTACATCAAACCAGGTCAAGCTATAAATGAATCCACTATGACCATCTGGCCATTGTGTCTAAAGGCTTGATGTACATACCACTGGTGGTGGGCAAGGTGATGCCAGGTGGAACACGGGTGAACATTCTGTATGAGAACAGTCATGTATCTATTTTAACATGATCACAAAAGCATAAATAGCATTTCAAACCCATGATTGCAAGGATTAAGATAAGTAAATTTAAAAAGCAGATAGAAAATGACAAAAAATAAAAAAGAAAAGTAAACTTTAAAATAAAAAGGGTGGGGAGAGGGATAAACTGGGAGCTTGGGATTTCCAGATACTAACTACTATATATAAAATAGACAAAACAGCAAGGTCCTACTGTATAGCACAGGGAACTATATTCAATCTTGTAATAGTTTATAATGAAAAATATGAAAACTATATATATGTATATATGTATATGTATATATGTATATATATGTATGTATATGTATAACTAAATATATATGTATATTTGTATATATATATGTATATATGTATATATATATGTATATGTATATATGTATGTATATATATGTATAACTAAATATGTATATTTATGTGTATATATATGTATATGTATATATACATGTATATATATGTATATATATATATACATATATATATATGTATAACTAAATCACTATGCTATACACCAGAAACTAACACAACATTGTAAATCAGCTATACTTCAGTTAAAAAATAAAAATAGAATAAAAAGTAAATTTAAATAAAAGCATTAAACCAGTGGTACAGGTTTTACAAAGATATGGCAAAAACTGCATATGTAGTACCTAAATGGCTTAAGTTTGGGAAGTCTAGTATTTCTCAAGAAGTGCCACTGTGCAGGGCTAACCCCAGTGCACAGCAATGGCCTGTAGCATCCCTGGTCTGCTGGTAACATCCCCTGCCCAGCCTGAGCACACACGTCCACATACGCTGGGGTGAGGCAATATTACCCCTGGTTAAGAACCACTTGAACTTTTACATCACATTATAAACAGTGACAGATTCCATGAGGATAAAGGCCCAAACACAGAAGGCAAAAGTGTAAACTTAACAGAAAACAACATTGGAGTATCTTTATGACCTGTGTGTGGTGGGTCGTGGTTTTTTAAAATGAAACCCCAAAAGATGGATTTTTTTTTTACATCAAAATTAAAGATCTCTGCTCAATGAAGAAGACCGGCAAGCCAATAGAGCAGAATTGGAAAAGATACTTATTACTGTCTAGAACCAAAGAGGGAATACTTCCTGGACTGCATAAGATACTCCTGAAGCCAACAGGAAAAAGATAAGAAGTTCCAAGGGAAAAAGGACAAAAGTATGACCAGATGATTCAAATGAGAGGAAATCCAAAAGCAAGCATATGAAGAGATGCTCAAATGTGGAAATTTAAGAAATAAGAATTGAAACAACAATGCTAAGTCACTTTATATGCATAGACATCTAGATAGCACCAAGTTCTGGCTGGGACGCGGCGATGGAGGGAACTTTATTCACTGCTGGTGGGAATGAACACCGGGCAGCCATTCTACAAGCAGGTGGACAGTGTGGATACAAATGAGTATGGTATATAATCTTCTTCCAGGTGTACGTATCCAAGAAAAATTATGACAAAGACTGAGAAGGGACAGGTATAAGGCTATTTTTGCAAAGCTGCATGATTTCTGTTAGCAAATATACATACATATACCTTATAATCCAGAGATCCTGTTTTGCGTTTATATATATCCCAGAAAAAAATCTCATTCATACCCATGAGGGATCATGGATGAGGCTGTTTATATCAAGTAACACTGAGAAGAAAGGAGCTAGACACAATATAAGAGCTCATTACTAGGGGAACAGATGAATCAATATGAAGGAGCACATAGGGAATACTGTGCAGTAGGAAAGGATGGACTAAAGCAAAAATGTAAAAGAAAGGAGTGGTATCTGTAACAGTGCAAAATTTAAAACATATGTTTAAAACAACACCATTCACAAAAACAGGCAAATAAGAGACTATACATTAGGCAGAACAGTTAGTGACGGAAGGGAAGGAAATAGGGGAGGTTGTCAGGCTGAGAAAACTAACCTGACTGGCTACTTCCCAGGGCCCATGTGTTAATCTGGGTCCCTGAATGTGATGGTTCTGCAGAGAAATCCCTTTGTCCCAGGGACTGGCTGCCTGGAAATGAAAGAAAAGCACCTTGAAAAGAAAACTAACTGGAACCCTTTGTTCTGATAGATAATCACAGAGGACAATCCGGTCCTCACAGAGAAGCAGAGAAATAAACTGGTCTCTCTAAAACTGATTTCCAGGATGATGAGGGCCCTGTTGCAAAATACAAGTAAATCATACTTATTGTCATGGAAAACCTGACTGGACATCAAGTCCGGAGAAAGTCAACAATAAAACTATTAGCAATAACTGAGTTCTCACTGATTTAAAAGGAGGCAAAGAAGGTGAACACAGCTCTAGGCTAAGAATTTGCAGGCCTGGGTACCATCTAAATTTGAATCAGCCACCAACTAGCTATAAAATGTGTGATAAGGTAAAATCAGGTGTCTTTCAAGGCCGTGTTTGGACTTAGCATGTTCTACTCTCTTTTAAAAAAGCAGTTTTCTTTTCTACAGACCTCCTGTTTTTTGACTTCTCATTAACCGACAGTTATTCATGTATTATTGCTTCACTTTTCCCTACACATCTTATACAATGGAACCAAGACTTTTGGAGTTTTAGTAATGGTTTTTTGGCTTGTTCCTGCTTTTTAAGTATCACTCATGGAAACTTATCCTTTCATAGCAAGAAACAGTGAACAATGGTATAGTAAATTTTTTCAAAACAGTATTAAAAACTTTATCTTATTTTACTTTTTTTTAGGGGGGAGGTAATTAGGTTTATTTGTTTATTTTTAATGGAGGTTCTGGAGATTGAACCCAGGACCTTCGGCATGCTAAGCATACCCTCCCTCCTTGAGCTATACCCTCCCCACTAAACACTTCAAAGTTCATGTTCCATCTTGCTGAGCCACTCATTTTTCTCACATACTTGCACAGACCTGACCCAGCTCCATCAATTTACCACTCATCCTGCTCCCTGACCACACCAGCCTGCTTGGAACCTCAGGGCCTTGTACTAGCCGGTCCCTCTCCCTGAAACATTCTTCCACTGACTCCCTCCATCAAACGTGACTTCTCAGTGGAACCCGTCCTGACTGCCCTATGCTCAATCACATCTCCCATTCCACTCTGCAACCACACCCCCGACCACGTATCACCTTTGAACATATTATGTATCATATGGATGTGCTATGTTTGTGGTTGCTGACTGCTCCCACCCCACACACTCATCCCATCCCTGCCAGAATGTAAGCTCCCCACAGACAAGGGAATTTTGTCAGTTTTGTTCAATGATGTTCAATGATATATCCCAGGCACCAAGATTAGTGCCTAGGATATAGCAGCTTCCTACTACATAAATGAACACTGCTGGATAAATGAACAAATTAAAAGGAGCAATTCATTACAATTACAAAATATTCATTTAGCTCTGCTGTCTATGGTCACAGACAGTGTTACCAAGCACTCCCACTTTTAGTTTACTTAGCACTAAGAACCAAAGAAACAACACTGCATAATTTGGGAGAGGGGGTGACTCCATAACAATAAAATACTATCAAGGTTAAGAGTAGGCAGCTACCCACTTTCTACACTGAACTGGGCCACAACAAACTCCTCCCTCCCACATCTACATTTAATTTTAAGGGAGTGAGAAAGACAGACTCCAAGATGGCTTCTGAGAAAATATGGCGGAATGAGACCTGACCCCACAGTCTCCATCCCCCCAATTCCTAAGGAAATCAATAAAAGGTAATAAAAGGAAGCTAACCAAAATGATGGCAGAACCACTCTCCAATTCCTACCTCCTTAAACCCAGATCAATGATTCAAAAGAGCTCAACTTTAAGAGAGCGACCCTGATATCACCAAGTCTAGGGAGGAAGAGTGAGTTAAGTGGGTTTTTAAATCACTTTTTCTCCTCTGACTTCAGTAGATTGGGGCTGGTAACTATCACATGGAAGGATAGGGGAGATGAGAATGTGAACAACAAGGACTGACTGTTCTTGGCAGAAGTGACAAGACATTTCACGTGGTCTCAGGAGAGACTGCAGGGCACAGGTATTACCATGTGACCGACACATAATCAACTTAGCTGAGCTCACTCCTCTGTGCCAACTCTTCTGCTAATATGTACCCTTAAATAAGCTAAAGAAAGTGGACAGACTAGGAAATACCCAGTGCTCAGGGGTCAAAGAGGTGTCACAGAGAAATCACCCCAGTGTGTTAGAGCACCAAAGGCTGGACACAGGTGCCCAAACGTGGGCAGGATGGGGTGAAACAGCATGGCAATTGACACATTGTAGTGACAAGTACTTTTAACATAATGTTAAAAGGGAAGATTATGTGGGAAAAAACTGGCCAAAAAATCTACACTCCCTAAGGGATAAGAGAAAGTAATTCTTCATAGAACAACTTAAAAGTATAATAGAAACATGAATACAGTAAAACAATAGCTTAGCAATAAGATAATCAAATAATAAAATGAGATTTAAAAAGAAACATGTCATACTAAATGATAAACTGAGAACCAAACAGCATCATCATGAAACCAGTAAATAAATTAGAAATATCAAGGAATAGAATTAATGCAACTCCAAATTATCTTCACGAAAGACTTGAGATAAAAGGCAGAATTTAAAGCAATTAGAGAAAAACGATAGACATGGAGGAGAGAAAAAATACAGTCCATTAAAAGGTTAATGGGTATTCCTGAAGTAGAACACCCAGCCCAAAGTATTTAAAGATCTACTACAAGAAAATATCCCTAAAATGAATTAGCAGCAGAATCTCTAAGTTGCAAGAGCATACTCTGTTTTAGGGGGAAAAAATGACACAGAATAATCAACTATGAAACATATTCTGGCTAAATAATTGAATTTCCAGTTCCAAAATATAATTCTTCAAGCAGAAAAAGCAAGTTGCCTACAAGGAAGAGAAAGTCAGTCAAATTTTTCAACAGTCCTTAAATGTAAAAGATAATGAAGCAATTCCTCCAAAACTCTAAGGGGATAAAGTATAGTCTCTGAACATTATTGTTAGTCAAGATGATTTTCAAATACAGAGGTAATCAGTAGGTATTCTTGAACATAAAAACAACTGAAGAATTCAGCATTCTGAGCCCTCCTTTAGAAGTCATGACAGTCTAGTTAGTGCAATGAATAAAATAAAAATACCATCAGTGGCACACCAAAGGTGGGCAGGGGGAAACTGCTTCAGATGCAGGCAATAAGGATGCATTGTTCACAGAGAATTTAAAAACAGAAATAAAACCACCGAAAATCAGTCTGCTTTTCATACGCCCATGTACCAACAATTATAAGCAATGAAAATGATAAAATATCTCTCCTTTCTGGGGTGGAATGTTCCCCTACCAGGCAGTCACCCCTAAGACCCTTGACCTGCTTCTTAATTTCAGTGATAGGAAAGCCACAGTGAAAAGATCAGTACTGGACACGGAAGTTATTTAAATATAAAACCGATTCTAAACAACTGAATAGAACATAATGTTACATATCTTGTCTATATGAAAACATAATATAACTAACCAATATTAAGGCTAAATTATGGAATAGAATATAAACATTAAATACTTTGTGTAAAAATAACAATGTAACTAACCAAAATCTGGAAGGGAAGAAAGGAAAGAGAGTAAGAGTGCCTAGGAGCTCATTTATCACGGCAGGGGAGAAGTCTATGCTGTCTGAAAGGAGATGGCAGCAGTCAGGACAGGCTGCTACCATGGGAGGAAACAAACCCTAAATCTCATGACTTAACAAAAGGAGAGAGTTCATTTCTCACTCACACGCCCTCCACTGCGAGCCCACGTGGGTCTCCAGTGCAGTCCCTCCTTGATTTGGTGCTGCCTTCCATGCCACACTGAAGTTATGCTCCTTCACATTCACGTAAGCATCCATGCTCACCAAGACAGGGAAAGGAAGGGGGAGAGAACAGAGATCTGGCAATTAAATACACCCATCTTTAAGTGACTCTGGTCACTTCTGCTCACTTTTGTGGCTAAAGCAAGTCACAAGGTCACCTAACTTGAAGGAAGTGAGGAAGCACAATCTCTTATATCCTAGAAGCAACAGAAAACTGGCAATACTGTCTACAAGAAATAGAGAAAAAGAAAGCCAAAACCTAAAACATTATGTTCATCACCCCTTTTCTTAACCTCAGACAGAAAAAAAAAAATAACATTTCTTACTATGAAAAACAGGTTTATTCAAATTTTAATAATTTCTTAATTTTCACTTAGTTTCTTTTTCTCCAGTTAAATTCAAATAAAGTTAAATGTATTAATTTTTAAATTTAAAAATCAGCATGTATCATATGACCCCACTTTTATGAAAGCACTTTCTTTCTATCTATCATCCATCCATCTTCCCATCTACAAACATGCTTAGGGAGATGTTCAACAGGATGTTCACTTAATAAGGCTTATTTCTGAGTGACAGGATTTTTTTGTCTTTTTTAAAATTTTTATGCATTCCTGGGATTTTTTAATAATAAGCATTATCATTTTTATAAACATAGTAGAGTCATTATTAGAATACAGATGAATTAGAAATAACATTGGACCTTCTATTATCAAGCCTTAAAACCACCAGATGGTAAAAAGGAGATTTTTACATTGCTCAAGGAAAGGAAGGAGGATTAAAGGAGGAGAACATGTGATACTTCATGATCATTACATACTGTTTGAATTTACAGAATGGGTAGGTGCTAATAGCTTCAGGCCAGGTAGCCGGTTTGAGTTAGTTATGTAAAGGACATTCATTTCTATTTTACTAAGTTTTTAAGTCCTTTCTATCTTGCTGATACAAGTCATTTCTACCAAATATGCAGTTGCTTACTGAGTTTAATAGAGATGTACTATGGAAATGGAGTTGGTTTTTCCCATTTAAAAATATGGACATTAAATACAAAAGTACAATTAATAAATTGAAGGGGAAAAAATAACTTCTAACCACAGCCAACTTATCCATTAGGGACCGGGGATACTGCCAAGAGCCTATGGTACTTCTGGGGGGCCACAAAAATCTTTTAATTTCTTTTCAAATCAGAA